ATTTAACCTTGTCAAGTGATTGTGATTTTATTAAACAGAGTGACTCCACAATGAACAGTGTTGCCATACATTGAGCATGATGAATCGTATTAAAAAAGTATTGTTCCTGAACTAAAACTCCAAATCTAGGTCCCCTTAAACAATGCGAGAATTATAGTCCAGAACAGGATCCAAACTTCATGGCTTCTCTGTAGTCTCTTCAGAGGATTGAATCCATCTACTGCCAAACTTGACAGTGTCTGTTATAAGCTTGAGCCAATAATTTATTATTTGCATTATGGTAGTGCCTAAGGGCTCCATTGTGTTAGCTTAGATTTGTAGTATTCATATAAAGTGTTCATAATCTGCTCTTATTATTGGTACATCATAATTGTACTTATTACATTAGCCCATACATTGTTGAGATGTTTAAATCAGTGAATGGTTGCTCTTTTACTTTGCATATTAAAATTACTTCTGATCATAGTTTATTTTTTGACTTATGAAAAAACTTTTTTTCCTTTCTAGTTGACACAGCAGTACTTGAACTAATACAACTTGTTCCTCCAGGTATTGTATCAATCTCTTCATAAATTATGCAGTTTAATAGGGGAATTTCCATGAGGACGTACAATCATTTTTCTCAACATACAAACCATGTAGAAAGCTCTTCAACAAATAGTCCTCCTGAATATAAAATGTTAATAGATCAAGAGGATCTCATTTTTGAAAGAGAATAAAGCTAATATTGAAATGTTCCATTTTCAGGCTTACAAAAGTGATAATACTTTAAAAATTGAAAATAAACCGAAATCACTCAATGCACACTTATTAAAGGCATCAAAATTCACTTGTGGTGTGTCTGCCTGTGAGGTTTGAAAGTGCATAATCTTGTTCTCAAAATGACACTTTTCTTTTATTTTAATGGTGACCGCTGGGGAAAACCCTTATCCACGCTATAAATATTACAGGTCTCTGGGGAGAGGTGAAGATAATAAATAACGATTTGTCATATTTCTGTTATAGGTTTGTGTGATTATAAAAAATCTATCTTAATGAAATTCAAATGTTCCCATGGATAATATAAATCTGCATTTGAAGCAGGACTTGTTTGAGAACTGTGGAATTAAAAGCACCCATAGTTACAGGTCCTTAACACCATAGCAAGCAAGAAAATACTTGTTTCTCTCAGTGGCTCACTGGGATATTTATACAAAGAAACAAACTGAGTGTGGATTTTGTTGTTGTGGGAGTGTAGGAGATTTTAGAAGGAGAACGTTAATTTCAGGGGCTCTGAGATAGCTTATAATGGACGTTTGGAAAAGTAACTGTGGTAGAACAACTTGAAAGTTTTATATAATCTATCTTGTGTTTTTTCCTTAAAGAAAATAGAACAAGATTTGAGGATCTTGAAATACTCTTTTTCATTGTACCTAAATTCCTTTCTGACAGCTGGCTAAATCTCTGATTAACAACCGTAATTGTTCTGTAATACAGAGTAACAGATGTGAAGTTGGCTACTGTTAGAAAACCATTGGCTGTACATAGGAGAGGAAGAAGGAAAGAAATTGAAGAAATGTTGTAGGAAAACCTTTTACATGTCTCTTAATGCAACAAAGGCAGTCTGATTTACATACATTTGATACAGTATTGAGTAAAAGTTGCTTAAGGGCCCAATCCTGTGCATTCTTACTATCGGGCATAGTCCCACTTTAGTCAATGGTCTTATGGCCTAGTGTAGTAAGAGTTTACTCTTAATTTTTAAAGGTAAAAACTTGTATTAGTTTCGGCATAGTCTTGTGCATGGGTGTCTACACTGTGTAACTGTTTCCCAATACATTAAGTACATATTTCCTTTTTAGTGGGAGAAATTTTAGCCACTTATGAAGAAAATACAAGAGATTTCCTGTTCCCTGACCCTAAGCTTACTCGTGGGCACCATGGTTCAGATCGTGAAGTTTTAATGAAGCGGTCTTCTAGTTTTACAGTAAGTGCATACTGTGTATGGTACTTATGATACAGTGTGTTTCACAGAAACAGCTTCGTGATCTACCTCAAGCCAAAAGTGATTACTTTTGACAGATAATTCAATACCTGAAATGGCAAGTCCTAATCCAAGGCTGAACTTTGTGAAGATAGAATATGTCTGCTGGAAATGTTATTTTAACTTGATGTGCAAACAATACTTGTATAATGTGAACAAGTTAGCATCTAGATTGCTTTGATATATAGTACCATAGCCTTTATTTCTTCTTTTCACCCATCCAGTGGGTGGGAAGCTAGATTTACTACCAGCAGGAACCATCAAATTTTACAGCAGTTGAACTATGTAACAGGGTAACTCTCTCCCCCACTTACTCTTTTTGTTGCATTTTTGTCTCCAGTTACATCGGAAACCCTCTGGGTGAAGGTCCGTTGATCCATCTGTTTGTACAGCACTGTGTGCAGTGTGTCTCCAGCACTCATTGGGGCTTAAGGGATCTCACACAATAAGAATGAATAATCATAACCTGTATTAAAACTTGGTTTAGACACTGTTATAGCTTTGGTTGTCCCTTCTAGAACTTGTCAAACTCTCTTTAGCCTCCATTCACATTGACTGGCCAAGCCATTTTAGAAACTAGCCACATTTAGGCTTTCAAAAAAGCCATAATAGCTGAGGGGTGATTGGCAAAGTGAACAGAATGAATTAGCATTGATCTTTTGTAGCTGCGGGCTCAAATGTACACTAAATGAAAATAAGTTTGGTCTCAGCCTGCACCTTGGTAGGCGTTTAAAGCTGACGATTCTCAGATGGGAATGGGGTAGTCCTGAAAGCAACTTTAAAGGAGATATCATTAAAGTGACAGAACACTGAGATTGGGATGATTTGGGGTTCAATTGACCTGTCAGTTACTACTAGATTTCTTAAATTCATGATTAAAGGTCAAAAATGGCTTGCAGCTGGTACACTGTGCCCCATAAGGGCAACCTGAAAATCACCCTGTCAGTTACAAATAGAGGTGACAGGTTTCAGAGTGGTAGCCGTGTTAGTCTGTATCAGCAAAAACAACTAGGAGTCCTTGTGGCACCTTAGAGATTAACACGTTTATTTGGGCATAAGCTTTCGTGGTCTAAAACCTACTTCATCAGATGCATGGTGTATATATATTATAGTATATATATATATTACAGCACATGAAAAGATGGGAGTTGCCTTACCAAGTGGTGGTGGTGGGCGGGGGGTGTCAGTGTAACGAGACAATTCAATTAACAGTAGAATATCAAGGGAGGAAAAATCACTTTTGTAGTGGTAATGAGGGTGGCCCATTTCAAACAGTTGACAAGAAGGTGTGACGGTAGAGGGAAATTAGTATGGTAAAATTAGGTCTTGTAATGACACATCCACTCCCAGTCTTTATTCAGGCCTAATTTGATGGTGTCCAGTTTGAAATTATTTCCAGTTCTGCAGTTTCACATTGGAGTCTGAGCATACTTCATTTAAATGACTTGAGTAGCAGAGATGGGCTTATGATGATAGGTTGTATTTGAATGAACTTTGTTTAAATGAACATTTAGTTGGGTGAGTTGGAATCCAAATAGGTGTGTGTAAGCGATTTCTCCTGTACCACAAAATTGTAACATCATGTGATGCAATTTGAAGCCTGCTTATAACCAATCCAGATCTGGATCAGGAGTGTTTTTATGTCAAAATTCAATACACAGGTGCACCTTGTTTTGGAAGATTCCCCAATAACTGTTCTATACATACCTTTTTTTTTTTAGCATCCTATCTGCATGTTATCAAATATATTTAGTTTGATGATAGATACAATATAAAAGCAAATCATACTGCATTAGGGTAACTTCTAATATTAATAGGAAGGTTTTTTCCCAAAGAAAATAGTCCTAATATACATTGTTGTTTAGGACTTACAATAAAGTAGGGATAGCTCAGTGGTTTGAGCATTGGCCTGCTAAACCCAGGGTTGTGAGTTCAATCCTTGAGGGGGCCACTTAGGGATCTGGGGCAAAATCAGTACTTGGTCCTGCTAGTGAAGGCAGGGGGCTGGACTCGATGACCTTTCAAGGTCCCTTCCAGTTCTAGGAGATAGGACATCTCCATTAATTTATTTATTTATTTAAATATTTGATGGTGGAGTAGTATTAAATATGAAGCTTATTAGAATTTTTTTAATTAAAATTTGGAATTCTTTAATTCCATTGAAAAGCTAGTTCATGTCTCCCCAAATTCTTTATGGTAAATCAAACGTATTTGTATTCATTTTGAAAGGCTGTCTACCTCTTTGTGATACAAGCGTCCAGATAGTTGGCTTTTTGCAACAATCCCTGTAATGAACCATAGTAGTTCAGCTGTGCTTTAGGGCCTTTGATTCTTGTTGAGGTGTTGAGCAGAGCCAGCTGGGGCATTGGCAGCTGCATAATGAAGCTGTAGCAGCCCTAAAAAGACTGGAATGATGGAATGGGAAAAGGTGCTCCAGTCTCTCTCACCCCCAGGAAAGTATGTGGAGCAGTTTAGATGGTGAAATCCGTTCCTGCAGAAGCATGTGTACCTCCTCCCTCCCAGAAACATGGAATGGTTTATATGGGTAATGGGGGTAATGACTGTACCCCAAGAATAATTTAAACAATTTGCGTCCTTTCTCTAGCTGATGGTTTGGGCAGCTATGAGGGAAACAACCTCCCCTTCCAAACCAAGATGAAAGAGTCTCAAATGTTCCTTCCCAGATCCCCATCATACCAGCTGTGTTTCCTTTTGAGTGGGTCTCCCTCTACTCTCTAAACTGCTTCAGATTCCTGAGGTTTGGAATGATGGGTGTTTCTGTGCTTCTGCCCCACCCCTTTGCTCTCTTCCCTCTTGGGTGAAGGGTGTTCTAAGCTGCACCAGTAAGATCTACTTGCTGTTCCGGTGGGCAGCAATCAATGTATGTAAATTTTATTGCAAATGGTAAAATATTAATCATGATCTTGAGAACCAAAAGTACTCCCCTTATTTCCACACTAGTCAATTGAGTTCTTCCCACAAGAAAAGTTATAACAAGCTGCCGTAATAAGTGTATGTGACGGGTTCGGTCACATAGATCCCCTTGGGACTGTCACCTGATATGCTGAAATTTCCTCTGAGCCATTTTTTCCTGCCAGCTTGGGACTCCAGAACCCTGCCTTGTTGAGCCAGACACGGTAGCCTGCTGTAGCACAGACTCAGGGGCTGGGCCATGCCCCCAAAGCTGCAGACTTTAACCAAAAATAGCTCAGCATGTTACTTGTCTGCAGCACCAGACACCCAGCTCCCAATGGGATCCAAACCCCGAATTAAATTTACAGGGTAAATTCATAAATTGTCCGCCCTCTATAACACTGGTAGAGAGATATGCACAGCTGTTTGCT